ACACGCGCGCGTGTGCACATGTGTGTGCACGCGTGCGCGGTACAGGGGCTGGAGGCGGGAGGCACAGGACCCCTCTGCCGTGTGCACACCGCCCCCCAGGTCATCCCCAGCGACTGAGCAGCACCTTGCTGACCCCCCGGCTCTTTGGCTGGAAGAAGGGCGGTTTCTCGATGCTCCAGGGACCTCAGACCTGGGCTCAGCCCGTGTTCCCGGGCCAGCGCCTCGCTCGTGTCTCCACGGGGCTGACCTCCGAGGGACGGGATTTTCTCCACAGTCTGTCACACGCCGCCAGCCCCTGTGCGGCGCGCCCCCAGCCTCCCTGCCCAGCTCGCGGCCTCTCCTCCACGTCGCCCCGTGTGCCAGCCAAGTCCTCCGTGTCCTCGGCTCCGCCTGCCGCGTGGGAACGCCACAGCCGGTGACTTCAACAGCAGAGATCGGCTGTCTCGCAGTCTGGAGGCTGGACGTCCGCGGTCAGTGTGCGGGCAGACCTCCGACCTCCGCCGGCCTCGCAGACGGCTGCCTTCTCCCCTTGTCCTCACAACCCCCTTGACCTTATCTCTGTGCAGGGGAGGGAGCTCCCTGGCGTCTGTTCCTTTTCTTGCCTGGACACCAGTCCCATCGGAGTGGGGGCCCTGCCCTTACGACCTCACTCGACCTCCCGTCCTTCCCCAGGGCTCTCTGTCCAAGCACCGTCACCCTGGCGGTTAGGGCTTCTGCAGAGGGGTGGGGGGCGGGGGACACGGTTCAGTCCAGAGCACTAAATGCACTTCAAGCCTTTGCTCCGCTCAGGCCCCCGCGCCCCGTCCCGACCCCCCTGACCCAGGACAGGTCTCCCCGTGTTTACCCTTCGCTGCACACCGAGCCTCTACGAATGTGCGTTTTCTGCCTTGACCCCGGGGGTCTGTGGACTTACGTTTGCTTCCTCTCACCGGTTCTGTTAGCTCTTCCTAAATAGGTTTTCCCAAGATGCTTTGAGCCGGCAGAGCTGGGCTGGAATATGTCCCCAAATGTGTGAGGTCCCAGCGGCTCCTGTAACAAATTACCACACATGTGGTGGCTTAAAACAACACACATTTATCTCTCATCTTTCCAGAGGTCGGAAGTCCAAAGCAGTGTCCCTGAGCTGAAATCAGGGTGCAGCCAGCCGGTTCCCTGCGGAGGGTCCGGGCCTGCGTCCCTCGGCTCCTGACCCCTTCCTCGGACAAGGCTAGTCTCCGCCTGGTCCCCCGACCCCCTTCGATGGACTGTGACGTCGGTGGGCCCACCCGACGGCCCGGACCCTCTCCCCACCTCAGGATCTTTATGTCACGTCTGCAAAGTCTTTCCCCCAGGAAGGTGACACATTCACGGGCTCCGGAATTAGGACTCGGATGACTCCGAGGGACCCTTGTCAGGACCATGCCTGTCAAGAGGACGGCAGCCTCATCCCCCACCGTCGGAACTGCTGTAGGTACCAAACGACCGGCCGGTTCTGCGACAGAAGGACCCGCTCCTGGAGTTTCCCCCGCGGGAGGAGCGGGAGGGGCTGGAACCCCAGACACGCTGCAGCGCTGTCTTGGCCTCCGCTGTGTCCCCTACTCCACGATCCGGAGCCCCGGTGTCTTCAGATGCTGAAGGGAAGCCACACGCTGCTGTGGGGACATAGGGAGCCGGTGCCTGTGGGAAATGCCACGCGCACCCGTGAACCTGCTTCCTGCCGTCCGCGGGTCCTGTCTCCTGTCAGCCTGGGCGATGGACGCATGGCTCTCTCTTACCCTCTTGTATTGGACCGTGACTGAGCACGTGCAGTGATGGAGGCGAGGTCCCCTCCCCTGCGGACTTGAATGAGGGCCTCTCGAGCTCACGTCTGACTCTGTGGTGCAGCGCCATTCAGGCGTGTCCCGTTTCCCCGCCACTGCTGAGGTTGGGGCACCTCGCTGCGATGTGCACGCGCTCACACGCACAGCCTGTCTGCCCGCACGGCCCCGGGACGCCTGGGCCTGCTCCACGATGACCGACTAAGTCGGCCAGCGAGTGACCCGCACGAGGACACGACCCCCGGCAGCGAGCGAGGCTGCGGAGGGAGAGTGGGAGCCGCTTGGCCAGCTCAGAGCCTCCATCCCTTCCCTCCCCGCCTCCACGGTGGCTCACGGAGCGTCTACTCACACGTGCAGATCCGGTTGACCCACATCTCTTCTTAGAGCCTTTCCTGCCCATCCCCCGTGTCCCCCACCGGAGAATCCCTGCTCTTCCGCAGCCTCCGAAGCCCACCCTTAAGCAACCCCCTCATCACACCAGCTCCATCCCCACCGCCCCTCCCTCACCCGCCGCGCGTCACCCAGCTTCTCCTGCAGGGCCACCTGTCTCCGGCCGGCCGCCTTTGACCATGACCTGACCACACAGCAGCCCTGCTCCTGATGCCTGCCCCTTAATTCGTGGCTTGTGTGTGACCCCTTCCGGGAAGCCTTCTCTGCCCCCCACCCGGCCAGCTCCGGGCTCTTCAGCTGCACCCTCACGTGGCACGGTCGCCGGTATGCGTGGACGTAACTGTGGGTATTTCCCACACGGCCCCCTTCAGGGCGATGACCATGTCCCACGCCCGCCTGTGTCCCCATGTCTCAGTCTGTGCTTGGAACCCAGTGCAGGAAGTGAATTACAGTGAGTTCAAGCGACTTGCGTCCCGGCAGAAGACGTTACTGTTGACCTGTCCGATGTTCTCGTAAAGGTGGGCTCAGCTCGTCACTCACCGCGTGTCTGGAAAGCAGCCCAGAGACCCCGCGGTTCATAAGAATCTCCCCGGGTGGTGCTTCAGCTGTCGAACCAGCAACTTCAGAAACTACCAGAAAAGGGCAAATGTGACGGAAGCTGGTGCTCGTTACTCACCACTGACATTTGTTTTTCAGCCAAATGGGTTTCTTGATTAATGGTTTTGTAAAACATTTGGGAAAAATAGAAAAACAAATTAACGTGATGCTCTCTGATTCCATGATCCCTGCCAGCCGTCATCTGTAACACGTTGCCAATCTGGCGACGACGAGCATCTCTCCCCCTTGCCCAAGCCTTTCACATCCTGGGGAGAACTTCCACAGCCCGATTCGAGGCAAGATTCCTGATGAGGTGCACGCTGATGTCACTGACCCCAGGAAGACACACACACGGGACAGTCACCTTGCCCTGCCCGAGGCTGACACGTAACCCCAGGGAGCTCTTCTGTGGATTTCTTCATTTCCTGTTTCCCTGACCTCAAATGGCTTTGAAATTGAGGAAGTTAAAAAAAAAACAAACAAAAAATGACGGGGCGCCTGGGTGGCTCAGTCAGTTGAGCGTCCAACTTCAGTTGAGGTCATGATCTCAGTTCGTGGGTTCGAGCCCCACGTTGGGCTCTGTGCTGACAGCTCAGAGCCTGGAGCTGCTTCAGATTCTGTTTCTCCCTCCCTCTCCCCCTCCCCTGCTCACTCTCTGTCTCTCTCTGTCTCAAAAATAAATAAACATTAAACAGAGGGAGAGAGAGAATTTCTCCTCCCAAGTTGGGGACCCACTTGATCCACATGGCAATCGGGTTCCTCGCAGCGTCCGACAGCAGCTACCATCTGGTGGCACTAACTCTGCAGTAATGCATCTGTCACCGTGTGGGGTCATGATCCTAATCCACCATTACAGATGTAGAAGCTGAACCCCGTCCAAGCTCTAACAAATAACCACCGACTGAAAGAGTGGTGATTGGGACTTAGCTCAGCTTTTACTTCAGAGCCCATGCTCTTGGCTCCCACGTGTCCGAGTCCCTTGACCCATGAGTTCTCTGAGTCACAGGATTCTAGCATCCAGAGGTCATCTGACACAGCCGCCTTCCCAACTCCTGACAGCCCCCTGCCTCCCAAGCCTGCCTCAGCTCAGCTCAGGGAAAGCTGTTGGTGACGTCTTCCCATGTTGAGCCCAGATCTACCAGTGCCCTCCCCAGCAGTGCTACTTAAGCCGTGGGGCCCCGTAGAACAGTCTTCTACAAGATGGCCTTCGAAGTGTCTGAAGACAATGCCCCCAACCCTGGCTGTAGCGGGACACAGGACTGAGCCCTGGGACTAGACGACAGGCCGGTACGGAGCTGAATGTAGACGGAGGACTGGCCACCAGCACGGCCGTGGCACCCATCACCGCTGCTTGCTTGAGCCATACTCTCCATCTGTGAAGCTTTTCTCAAATGATGCTAAATTGAGAGGTTTCTCTCCCGTTGTGACTAAGACAGGAATAGCTGCTCTTATGATGGCTCTCCAGAGACACAGAGTGAGAAGGAAGGGCCCGCATGGGTGAGAAGCTACAGAGCAGGTCTGGCAGTGCATCCGGAGTGTCCCGCATGGAAACACGGTGGCTGGACCTGACCGGCGATCCCCAGTCCCCGCTCCCATCTGGCAAGGCCAGGGTCCCCACCTGGGAGGTGCTGGTTATGGCTTGATTCCTGCTTCCCTGCTCCTTTTTCTTCTGCTGCTGCTGGGTTTTGTGAAAAGGAACTAAAAACAGAGATGCCAAAGGCCAGAGGGTAAATATTTCAGGCTTTGGGGGCCATATGGTTTGTGACACAACTCTACTCTTCCTTCCGCCGTGGCCGGGAAGCAGCCACGGACTTCGCCGTGGACGCATGGGTACAGTGATACTCAGCAAACTTTCACTTCAGATGCCGCAATTTGAATTTTATACCATTTTAGTTTGTTTTTGAAATATTTAACGATTTTAAAATCATCCCTACCTTGCCAGTCGTGGAGAAACATGTAGTCTTTGGGCCATTGGTCTAGAATGTTTGCTGATCCAGTTGTCAGCCGCGGGGGGGGCTCTGGACCATACGCTCGGCCAAGCGCCGTGGCCTCCAGACCCTGACCTGGGGCCTGGTGACTCCTCTGGAGATCGTGCCTTTCCCGTCTCTGCTTGGTTCCTGCCCTGAAGCCCCTCCCCGCCGCCCATGGCCGCGCCAAGCCCAACACCGATTGCTCAGCACATCCGCTTACGTCCCTCATCCGCGCTGTCACTCCTTGGAAGGCTTGGCTGTCCAGTAGGAATATTTGTCAGCTGTCTTGAGCTTTGACTCATGACTGCTAAAGGGAATGTGCCCGCAAGTTAATTCCCCAGGGGAGAAAATAGGATTAAGGAAAGACGTGAAGGTTTAGGGACAATAGCTGTTTAACGGGCAGCTGGGCACTCGGGGAAGCTGGTAAGAGGTGGAACAGGCCACTGAGTTGGATCCGTTGAGGACACAGCAGCCCTTCCCTGAGCTAAAAACAGGTATTTTCCAATCTTACAAGCATTTCTTAAACTCAGTCTAAGTAACTTTTGGTGTTATGATAGAGTCTGTGTGAAAACCAGAGCTACTTTTAAATATTATTTTAAGTTGTTTGCAGCGAGTTGTTTTTCTTGATCTGGAAGTGGGAGCTTTGGTTTCTGCTAAATATTGTTATTTCTTTCAAATCCTTTGTTTGTCTTCGGAAAGTCCCAGGGCTTCGGTTCCGGTCTGCGTGTTGGCTTGTTTGTCAAGGCGGCTTGGTTGAACTCATTTTTTCCCCACTTTCTGTGATGCTTGGGAAGTGGAAGACCACACAGTTGGGGTCACCAGCCTACAGCAGGTCAACAAACTCTCTTTCCCTATTCCAGACCCAGGAATGGGTACGCATCCCCCCGGGCACTGAGGCACGAAGGTGGGTGGGAGGCGGGCAGTGCACGCGAGGTGAGTCTGACTGCTCAGACAAAAACCCAGAGTACTTATGCCAACCATGTTCTGACCCGCAAGTCTGAGGAAGGACTGAGACAGTCTTCCGAGTTGTCAGCAAAGTGACTGCATGATCCATACAGGGTCCCACGGTGAATACGCATTAGTTCACACATTATGGGAAGTGCTGAAGGGCTTCCAGACATATGTCCATTTACAAAACAAAACTGGCTCTTAAAAATGCTTTATTGATTACATAATAAATATCAAAAAGCATTAAAGCAAAAGACAACAACAAGTTTAAATGATCCATTCCTCAAACAATTATACACAGAATCACCATATGATCCAGAAAGTCTACTTCTAGGTATATATCCAGAAGAATGGAAACCAGGCACTCGGACGGATATTTGCACACCCATGCTCATAGCAACATTATTCGCAATAGTCAAAAAGTTAAAACAGGGGTGCCTGGGTGGCTCAGCTGGTTGAACTTCCGACTCTTGATTTCGGCTCAGGCCATGACCAAGGTCATGGGATCAAACCCCACGTAGGGCTCTGCACTGAGCGTGGAGCCTGCTTGGGATTCTGTCTCTCTCTCTCTGCCCTTCCCTGGCTCACACTCTCTCATGGTCTCTCTCTATCTCAAAATGAATAAATAAACATTTTTTTAGAGTGAGAACAACCTGAGTATCCGCACACAGATGAACGGATAAACACGTCGTATGCACGCGATGGGATGTGACTCTACCCTAACAAGGAATGAATTCTGACACTGCTACAACACGGATGGGCTGTAAAGACGTTATGCTCGCTGTAACAGTCTAAACAAAAAAGACAAATGTTGTGCGATTCCACTTCTATGAGGGAACAAGCCTAATGGAGTGAATAGAGACAGGAAGTAGGGTGGCGGTTATTGTTTCACGGGCACAGAGTTCCGCTTTGGGAAAGTGACATCTGGAGATGGATCTGCAGCAAGGGGAATGCGTTTAACGCCCCTGAGCTGTACGTTTAAAAATGGACAAAGTGGTAAGTTTTATGTTATGTATATTTTATCACCAGAAAAACCGTCCATTAACAAGAGAAGTACAAACCGGTACTCCAAAAACCATAAAAAGTTGCAGAAGGAAAGCATAGACAACCTAAATAAGTCAAAGGCATTTCACGTTCGCAAGCTGGAAGACTTACTAATTGTTAGGGTGGCGATACAGGTCGATCTCAAACTGATCTACAGATTCGACGCAATGCTTATCAAAGTCTCCATTAACTCCTCTGCAGAAATTGACAGCCAATTATAAAAGTTTATGGAAATTTAGTGGACATTTTTAAGTGTTTATTTATCTATTTTAATGCTGATTTATTTTTGAGAGAGAGAGAGAAAGACAGAGCTGAGCAGGGGAGGGGCAGAGAGAGCTGGAGACACAGAATCCAAAGCAGGCTCCAGGCTATGAGCTGTCAGCACAGAGCCCGACGCGGGACTCGAACTCAATGAGTCATGAGATCATGAGATCATGACCTGAGCCGAAATCAAGAGTTGGATGTTTAACTGATGGAGCCATTCAGGTGCCCCAAACATTTTTAAGAAGTCTAAAATTGGAAAACTCAGACATTTTCGTTTTCGGCTTTTACTGTGACAGTGGAATAACGGAGAAAGCAGCATGGACAGACACAGAGATCCACAGAGTAGAACTGACAGTCTGGAAATAGGCCATTGCACTTCCAGCCAGTTGGTTTTCCATAACAGCACCGAGAGCCAAGACCATCCAATGGGGAATGAATCGTCTTCCAACAAATGTTGCTAGGCAGCTGGAGGGCCACATGCAGAAGGAAAACTTGGACCCCCGCCCCACAGCAGATCTACAAGTTAGCATGGATCGAAGACCACACCTAAGAGCTAAAGCAAACCCCCCATACGCTGCTGGTGGGTGTAGACACTCAGGAAAACAGCCTGGCAGTTCCTCAAAAGACACAGAGTTACTGCACGACCCAGCATGGAATGAATCCAGGGGGCCGCCCTGGAGTCCGGGATGCAGTGGGGTCACTGTAGCACCCAGGAGCCCACACCCCGGCTGCTGTTGGAGGCAGATGTCCAGCCCGTGGCCCCTCTGGCCCCGACACAGCCGGAGCTGCAGCCCACCCCCCTCCCCCCACCTGCCTGGCGTCTTGCTGCAGAGACGGAACCGTTTGCATGGGGGGTTGGGGTGTTCCAGCCTCCAGGGGTCGGGGAATGAGCCGGGGGGGGGGGGGAGGGCAGATGACCAGCGTAGCCAGTGTGTGGAGCCTTTCGGGGCCTGAGACGGTGAAACAGGGGCAGATGGGACCTCCCGTCCCCCGCAGGCGGTGAGCCCCACCCCACCCCGCCCGTGCAGACTAACCTGCGCCGCCATTTATTCACTCACGCGATGGGCTGCTTATTCTGTAACCGGCGTGGAGCTAGTGCAGGGAAGGCAGCCCCGCCACCCCCTCCTTCACACCCTCTCTGGCCTGAGTGTCCTGACCTCCCCCGACTCCGTCGAATATAACCAGTCCCTCCTCGCAGCCCCAGTGCGGCTCTTTCTGCCCCCAGGTCCTGACCCTGTGTTTTTTTTTTTTTTTTT